GGGAGAGATTTTTAAGCACATGTAGTGTCAGAGGTGGAAACCAGGCAGCCGTGGATGTGTGTTGCTGTTGTATGTATGTATATAACTACAATCAATCCCTGAAGATTTAACACACTACAAAATATATTAGGCTGTAAACTATAAATCGTGGTCTTTTGGCATATAAATTATTTGTTTTTTTTGGCGATTTTGAAGAATTTTAAAATATTCTTTGGGGCAAACATTCGTTATAAAAGGCTGGCACGTCACTGGTAATATAATTTTGAACAATAAACTGTGTTGATTTATTTTAGTTGAAGCAGGGAAACATCACATCACTGTCAGAATCTTTGGATAATGTTAAAACCATCTACTTTGAGTTTTACTGTGAATTCTGGTATTTTTGTGCGCTGCACAGTCGCGATGTCAACTACTTAGTTCAGAATATCTCACCGCTCAGTGATGGAGGTTGAGTGTCGCGAGTGAATTAGCATAATGTTAAATTTCACGGCCGTATCGATTACTTATGGCAGTAGACTTTTAGCTTATGAAACATATATAGTATTTTAACAAATTAATTAATGCGTTTAAATGTGAAATCTTATTTTTCTTGCCGAAACTAATATATGTCTGCGTTAAAAGTATTATACGGCACTTTTAATGTGTACTCCTCTCCGTTATATGTCATGAATGTATAGAAATTTCTCAGTCTTGTCGTTTTTCTTTGTAGATCCGCGAGCTTTGGTGTGCAACAAGTCGACCGAATGAATTTCGCACAGCAGTCTTGGGTCGGCCTATACTCCCAGCACAAAGCCCAACCCAGTGCCACAACCGAGTCAGGTCGGCGGTGTCACCTACAGCTATGACGTCTCTTGCTGCTGTGATACTACTCGTGACTACTGGCTTCTGACATGTGCATCGCATAATGCGCGCCGGCCACCCGCCCGCGCCACTAATACCAAGGCCATGTATAGCTGATCACAAAGGTCCTGCATCTGTGTGTGTGTGTGTGTGTGTGTGTGTGTGTGTGTGTGTGTGTGTGCGTTCGTGCGTGCGTGCGTGCGTGCGTGCGTGTATGTGTGTTGTGTGCTACTGTGGCATACATGCTAAGTACTGCTAACAGGGAGTATGAGTGGATTATTGATTGAGACTGGCCGTTATTTTTTACACTATCAACTGAATCGGTGGGAATTTTTAATAAAATTGATTTTTGACTGTGATGCGTATATGTGCTGGCAGCCTTTTTAAACAACAATGTGGAAAGACACGGATTGAATGTAAGTGTTCTTAATGGATTTTTTATTCTAGCAGACCATGTAGGTGCTATTTTTACTGTTATGTGTACAAAATGTTTTCAATTGGCAAGGAAACTAATTGTTATGTAATCAGTACTGTTATATCTGTATATAATTTGTTGTACTCGTGCAGTACAATCAAAGAATCCGAACGTGCCCGAGAAGGCAAAGTATCTATCGTGAGACTCGGTTCGAATTCGTGTGAACCTAAACATTCCCATCTTGTTTCGCTAATCCGCAGTCGTCCCATCGAAGCGGCCAAGCTAAACCACTCCTCCGCCGCTTGCATTTCCTAAAACTAATTGAATCTACCTGCGTCTCGCCCGCCATCTGATACCTTCCCGCATGCGCGGCGCTCTCGCACGCAGCCCACGCGTAGGGCGTCGGCGCCGAATAAATCCACGTTGAATGAGTGACGTCTCGATGCCCACACGCCCGTATCGTCGCCGGGTAACGTTTACCAGGAGGCCTGCGTGTGTTTACAGGCTGCGGCGTCCGCAATGTGCCTTCTTAGTTCGGCTGCCCGCCTGCGTGAATCCCGTCTGCGCCACGTGGCTCGCACGGCGCGAACGGTAAACTACGGCTACCGGCGCTCTGCTTCTACACGCACTGCCGCCCGCCCGCCTTGGTGTAACCCCCTCCTGCTCATTGTGGCGTAATAACAAGAGTAGATACTCAACACATAGTATTAGTTGTTAGTAGTTAGTAGTTAGCTTAGTAAACATAGTTAATAATAGTTATTTATCTAGCTCTTTGTAATAAGTAAAACGCAGCTTAGCTGCCGTGGAACCGACTCATCGAGCCAGGGACTGGTTCGAAGGTCGCAGCTTTTAATAAGAATCGACGCGGTTGCGGCGGATAACGTAGCACAATCGTTATAGAAACGAATCTAGTCTCGGATATATTCGTTTGTCAAAGGTGATAGAATAAGCTAACTGTGATAAGGACGGAGGACTGTAAAATGCGTAGGCTAGCTGATAACACGGCCTGTTCACAATCACAACATGTACTTCATTGTAAAGAACAATTTTGCGAGAATTGTGTCCCAGTACTAGCATATAAGCAGAACAATGATCACGCCTGTGACGGCGATATCTGCATAATGAGAGTGGGTAGCTTCTTCAGATGCGAGGCCGTAGGCTTGAGCAATTCCTAAGGGGTGGGGGGCTAAAATTTCACGACTCAACTGTGAATGATGAGGCGACGGCCCAGCTCTTGATCGACGTTCATAGTGTGGTAGACTCGGGCGGGGGGTCTGAGACCAAGGCTTTCAAAAGAAAGCGACAAAAACAATCACGTTAGGGTTTATTTATGATTATGTAGGCTAAGCTTTTTCTAATTTTGGGGCCGCAGAAATCTTAGGGGGCAGCTGCCCCTTGCCCCCCCTCAGGCTACGGCCCTGCACAGTAATGTTATTACTCAGTGGGAGACAGATATCCGCGCTAGACATCGGCTACTCTTCCGCAGGAGAGAGTAAATCTGAACAGTTGAGAAGCGTAGTACAGGCGACTTTGGCGTCGCTCGGGCTACACGATGTTATGACGAAATTGTGTTCGTCATTAAAAGTTTTTCTCGCTTCTTACATAATAAAAGCTGAAGTTATCTGTAATTATTTCACAAGCACACGGACTGTCATCATCAGTGGTGCTCTCTAGGGCGTAGAGTCCTCACTACGGCGGGCGTCTATGCTTGGCCATCGTAGGCCTACTCAGAAACTAATTATGCTTGGTACGCGCGGAGTTCAAATAAGTCTAACCGCGGTAAAATTATTGGCCCTTTTAGCCAATTCACAGGTCGTGTTAACATAAATAGCAACGCGGCAGATAATTGTTTCAAACACCGGGTAAAAAATGAATTATTTCTGAGTGCGATAGCCACTACATAGGCATCGGTGTTTTGAGCACATAAGCCGAGCCTGCGCATAAACAGCAATGAGAATGATAGCCAGTACAATGCACCCCGCGCATATACAGCAATGAGAATCGATAGCGAGTAACAAGCACCCCGCGCATAAACCAGCATGAAGAATGATAAGGCAGTAGCAAATGCACCCCGCGCGTATATCCAGCTAATTGAGAATGATAGGGCAGTACACTCAGAGCAGATAAAGAAGGAGAGGCGACCATACCGGTAAAAGTGGCTAAAACCATTGCTGCAGTATTAGTCAAATTTTTATAAACTTTTCCCCGTTTTATTCTGGAGCGATCCCTTTGCAGTATTATTGATTAGGCTGTCTTACGCTTGTTCATATAAAACAAGCCGCCATGTCCTACGATGCCCCTACGCTAGATAATGAGCGGTGAAAATTCTGGTATTTTCGTTTCGCCGAAACGCCGACTAGACATTAGTCAGAGCTGCGTCTCTCTCGCGAAGTGAGTTCCAGTGTGTTGGCTTTCCGGTCGCCGCTGTGTAGCGCGATAAGTGGCGGCTGACTGCACGTAATACTACCAGAGTTTCCTATAGCATCCAGCGCTGAGGTGGCGTGAGGTGGGCACAGGTGGGGGTCATCCTATGTCTGGCAATCAAATAACAGACGTCATTCGGGACACTATGGCCGTCGAGTGAGGATTCCGAGGTTTCTCCGCGAAGTTATAAACACTTCCGAGAGATAGTCGCAGCTTCTGACATAATGTCCTAGTCGGGTTTCGGGCGAAAAAATACAGATTTTCCACCGCTCATTATCTCCAGCGTAGGGGCATCGTAGGGACATTGCGGTTTGTTTTATATTGAACAAGGTAAGACAGGCCTAATCAATGATCCTGCACAAGGATTCGTCAAAATAAAACGGGAAAAGTTTATTAATTCGAGCTAATATCTGCAGCAGGTTTGCAGCATTTTTACCGTTGTACGCTCTCTTCTTATCTGCTCTTGGTACAATGCACCCCGCGCGTATAACACACAGCATGAGAATGATCGCAGCCTACAATGCACCCGCGCATAAACAGGCAATTGAGAATGATAGCAAGTTACAATGCACCCTGACGCATAAACAGCAGCAATGAGAATGATAGCAGTGACAATGCACCCTGCGCATAAAACAGCAAATGAGACAGATAGCAGTAACAACAGCAATGAGAATGATAGTGCAGCTACAACATGCACCCCAGCGCATAAACACAATCGAGAATTGATAGCAGTACAATGCACCCCGCGCATAAACAGCGAATGAGAATGATAGCAGTTACAGATGCACCCTGCGCATTAACCAGCAAGAGAATGATAGCAGTACAGATGCACGCCCGCGCATAAACAGCAATGAGAATGATAGCAGCTACAATGCACCACCGCGCATATACAGAATGAGCAGTACATGGCACCCTGCGTAAACAGCAATGAGCAATGATAGCAGTACAATGCCCCTGCCGCATAAACAGCAACTTGAGAATGATAGCAGTACAAATGCACGCCTGGCGCATAAACAGGCAATGAGAAATGCATAAGCAGTACAATGCACCCTGCGCATAAACAGCAATGAGAATGATAGCAGTACAATGCACCCCCGCGCATAAACAGCAATGAGAATGACAATAGCAGATACAATGCACCCTGCGCATTAAACAGCAATGGAGAAATGATAGGCAGTACAATGCACCCTGCGCATAAACAGCAATGCAGAATGATAGCAGTACAATGCACCCTGCGTCATAAACAGCAATGAGGAATGATAGCAGTACAATGCACCCTGCGCATAAACAGCAATGAAGAATGATAGCCAGTAATATGCACCCCGCGCCATAAACCGGGCAATGAGAATGATAGGGGCAGTAACAATGCCCCACCCAAACGTTTCTCGTAGTTACACCCAAACGCTCTCGCTAGTTACATCCGAACGCTCTCGGTAGTTAACACTTCACAACGTTCTCTGTCGTTAGCACTCAAACGCTCTCGTAGTTACACCGAAACGCTCTCGTAGTTAACCTACAAGACGTTCTCCTAGTTACACCCAAACGTTCTGGTAGTTACACTCAAACGCTCTCTCGTAGTTTACACACCAAACGCTCCTCGTAGTCTACACCTAAACGCTTCGTAGTTACAACTCAAACGCTCTCGTAGTTAATCAAACGCTCATCGTAGTTACACTCAAACGCTCTTCGTAAGTTACACTCAGAACGCCTCTCGTAGTTATATTCAACACGCTCTCGTAGTTACAGCTCAAACGGCTCTCGTAGTTACACTCAAAAACGTTCTCGTAGTTACACTCCAGAACGATCGTCGTAGTTACACCCAAACGCTCTCGTAGTTACAGCATCCAAAACGGCTCTCAGTAGTTACAGCACTCAACACGTTCTCGTAGTTACACTCAAACGTTCTCGTAGTTAACAAACCGAAACGCTCGTCGTAGTTACACTCAAACGTGTCTCATAGTTACACATCACAAACGTGTCTCCGTAAAGTTACACGTCAAACGCTCTCGTTAGTTACATCCAAACGCTCTCGTAGATTACACCAAAGTTCTCAGGGTAGTTAGCACTCAAACGTTCTCGGTCAGTTAACCCAAACGTCTCGTAGTTACAGCTCAAACGTTCTCGTAGTTACACTAAAACGCTCTCGTAATTACACCAAACGCTCTCGTAGTTACACCCAAAGCTCTCGTAGTTACACTCAACGTTCTTCGTCAGTTACAACCAAAGCGCTCCTCGTAGTTACACTACAAACGCTCTCGTAGTGTACACTCAACACGCTCTCGTAGGTTACACCCTAAACGTCTCGTAGTTACACTCCACGACGGCTCTGCCGTAGTAACCCAAACGCTCCGTCTAGTTAACTCAAACGTTTACGTAGTTAAGCAACCCAACGCCTCGTAGTTACAGTCCAAACGCTCTCGTAAGTTACACTCAAACGCTTCGTAGTTTACACTCAAACGCTTTCGTAGTTACACTCAAAAGCTCTCCTCGTAGTTACACCCAAACGATCTCGTAGTTACAACCCAAACGCTCTCAGTAGTTATATTCGAAACGCTCTCGTAGTTTACACTCAAAAACTGCTCTCGTAGTTACGCCCAAACGATGCTCGTAAGTTACACCGCAAACGCTCTTGTAGTTACACTCAAACGGCTCTCGTAGTTACATTCTCAACTCTCTCGTAGTTCAAACCCCAACGCTCTCGTAGTTACACCCCATATGCTCTCGGTAGTTACCTCAAAACTGTTTTCCGTAGTTACATACCAAACGCTCATCGTAGCTTAACACTCAAACGCTCTCGTAGTTACCTCAAACGCTCTCGTATTACACACCCAAACGCTCTCGTATGTTACACTCAAACGCTCTCGTAGTACACCAAGACGCTCTCGTAGTTAGACTCAACACGTTTACGGGTAGTTACCCCAAACGCTCGCGTCAGTAATCAAACGTCTCGTAGTTACACTCAAGACGCTCTCGTAGTTAACTCAACGCTTTCGTAGTTCACTCAAACGCTCTCGTAAGTTAAGCCCAAACGATCTCGTAGTTACACCCAACGTTCTCGTAGTTAGCATCCAACCTCTCGTAGTTACACTCAAACGTCTCAGTAGTTACACTCCGAAACGCTTTCGTCAGTTTACACTGTCAACACGGCTCTCGGTAGTTTACAGCCCAAACGATCTCGTAGTTAACACCTAAAACCGTCTTCGTAAGTTAACAACTCAAACGTTCTCCGTATTACACACCAAAGCTCTCGTAGTTACCATTGAAACAGCTACTCGTAGTTACACTCAACGTCTCGTAGTTACACTCAAACGCCTGTATTACATTAAAACGCTCTCTGTAGTTACACTTCAAAACGCTCTCGTAGTTACACTCAATACGCTCTCAGAGTTATATTCAAAACTGCTCCGGTAGTTACACCAAACGCTCATCGTAGTTCACTCCAAACGCCTCTCCGTAGTTACATCAAACGCTCTCGTAGTACACTTAACGCTCTCGTGAGTTACATTCAAACGCTTTCGTAATTACACTAAAACGCTCTCCGTAGTTACACTCAAAACGCTCTCGTAGGTTAAACTCAAACGCTCTCGTAGATTACACCCAAACGCTCTCGTAGTTAACACTCCAAACGTTCTGTAGTTACACCCAAAACGTTCTCGTAGTTACACTCAACGCTCTCTGGTAGTTACAAGCCCAAACGCTCTCGTAGTTACAATCCAAAACGCTCCCCCTGCGTGTTACATTTGAAAACGTACTCGTAGTTACACTCAAACGCTCTCGTAGTTACACTCAAACGCCTCGTCAGTTACACTTAAACGCTCTCGTAGTTACAATCCAACGCTCTCGTAAAGTTACAAGCACCCCGAAATCACAAGTGCATATCGTCACTAGAGCACCGCACCGCACGCAAGTACCGTCACTGGGCGAAGCCAACAATTAATATACGTAGCTGTTGGCTTGGTATATCAATATCTGACTAAAGCGTCCCATCGTGAAAAAATGATAAACGTTGACTAGTTGTATATCATCGAAGGGGCTTCAAAAAATATTTTTCCACATTCGATACACGAGATCAAATGTCAGTGGCGATCAACGTTCGTGTTACACTTTTTTCTTGTTCGGGAAAAAACTAACCGCGGCGAGAGTGTACGTTAGCGCTTTCTCTAGTTACTACTGCATGTGTGCGTTCGTGTCCTCCCCCCCCCCGCTGCTGCCGCGCCACGGCCAACGCCGTGGGATCGATCTTGTTGTTTGCCAGAAAATCCGCTAAAGTCAGTAGGCAATCCCATCGGACCTAGCTTCACTCGCAACGACACCGCCACCTATCCCGCTGCGCTGCCTCTGCCGTACTGGCGATAGACAGCAACAGCCGTAGCAGCCTTGGCTGCTATAGGACCTATAGATAAATAATGTAACCCACAACCCCCAGGATTAGGTGTACCTGGCGCGTGTAAGCTCTAGAACTATAGGCTTTCGCTCTGACACCATGCAAGCACTGTGCCCATGCCCCTGGCCTTATAATTCTAGAGCTAGCCGTGTGCTGCTGGTGAAATTGAGACCGGTGAGGGGAAAATGTAATACAGAGGTTCTGCAGTGAATAAATCAGTGTGTTTGAGGACACATACTTGTCGTTATTCTCTCCTCTCTCTCTTCTCATCTCTCTCTCTCTCTCTCTCTCTCTCTCTCTCTTTCCTCTCTCTCTCTTTCGTCTCGTCTCTCCTCTCTCTCTCTCTCTCCTGCTCTCTCTCTTTCTCTCTCTTTCTCTCTTTCTTTTCTCTCTCCTCTCTATCTCCCGTCTCTCTCTCTCTCTTCTCTCTCTCTCTCTCGCTCTCTCTCTTCTTCTCTCGTCTCTTCACTCTCCTTGCCCCTTCTCTCTTCTCTCTCTCTCTCTCTCTCTCTTCTCTCCTCTCTTCTCTCCCCCCGCTCTCCTCTCGTTCCCCTGCTATCTCTTTTTTCTCATCTCTCTCTCCAACGCGGGCTCGCGCACACACGGCCGCCTACCGTCGATGTACGTAAACGTTTGAGTGTAACTACGAGAGCGTTTGGGTGTAACTACGAGAGCGTTTGAGTGTAACTACGAGAGCGTTTGAGTGTAACTACGAGAGCGTTTGGGTGTAACTACGAGAGCGTTTGAGTGTAACTACGAGAACGTTTGAGTGTAACTACGAGAGCGTTCGGATGTAACTACGAGAGCGTTTGGGTGTAACTACGAGAACGTTTGGGTGGGGTGCATTGTACTGCTATCATTCTCATTGCTGTTTATGCGCGGGGTGCATTGTACTGCTATCATTCTCATTGCTGTTTATGCGCAGGCTCGGTATGTGTCACAACACCGATGCCTATGGTTGGCTATCGCACTCAGAAATAATTTATTTTTTACCGCGGTTGAAACAATTTATCTGCGGTTGCTATTATGTGTAACACGACCTCTAATTGGCTAAAAGGCCAATAATTTTACCGCGGTTAACTTATTTGAACCGCGGTAAACATAATTATTTCTGAGTAGGCCTACGATCGCCAAACATAGACGCCCGCCGTAGTGAGATCTCTACGCCCCTAGAGGGCACCACTGTTCCTTGGCCGATCGTGACAGTCCGCTGCGCTTGTGAAGTAATGCAGATAACTTCAGCTTTCATTTGTAAGAAGGAGAAAAACTTTAATGAGAACACAATTTCGTCATAACATCGTTGCCGAGCGACGCCAAAGTCGCTGCTACGTTCATCAATGTCAATTACTCTCTCCTGGGAAGAGTACCCGATTCTAGGCGCGGATATCTGTGTCTCCCACTGAGAATTAACATACTGTGCAGGGCCGTAGACTGAGGGGGGGGGCAAGAGGGCAGCTGCCCCCCTAGATTTTGGAGCAAAATTAAAAAATAAGCTTAGCTAATAATCATAAATAACCCTAACGTGATTTTTTTGGTCGCTTTCCTTTGAAAGCCTGGTCTCAGACCCCCCCCCTACCACACTATGAACGTCGATCAAGAGCTGGGCCCGTCGCTCATCATTACACAGTTGAGTCATGAAATTTTGCCCCCCACCCCTAGGAATTTGCTCAGCCTACGGCTCTGCATCTGGAAGAAGTAACCCACTCTATATGCAGTATCGCGTCCCAGGCGTGATCATTGTTCCCTTATATCTAGTACTGGACACAATTCTCGAAAATTGTTCTTTACAATTAACTACATGTTTGATTGTGAACAGGCCGTGTTATCACTAGCTACGCATTTTACAGTCCTCGTCCTTATCACAGTTACTTATTCTATCACCTTTGACAAACGAATACTATCCGAGACTTGATTCGTTATAACGATTGTGCTACGTTATCCGCCGCAACGCGTCCGATTTCTCATTGAAAAGCTGGACTCGAACCAGGGCTCGATGATCGTTCACACGGCAGCTAAGCTGCGTTTACTTATTACCAAGAGTAGATAATAACTATTATTAACTATGTTACTAACTAACTTACTAACAACTAATTTACTATGTGTTATTATCTACTCTTGATATTACGCACAATAAGCAGATGGGTTACACCACAGGCGGCGACGTCTGTAGAAGCAGAGCGCCGTAGCCTAGTTACCGGCGCGCCTGCAGCCACGTGGCAGACGGGATTCACGCAGGCGGCAGCGAACTAAGAACACATGCACGCGCAGCGTAAACACACGCAGCCTCCTGGTAAACGTAACCGGCGACGAACGGGCGTGTGCATCGAGACGTCACTCATTCAACGTGATTTATTCGGCGCACCACGCTACGCCGGCGCGTCGAAGCGCCGCCATGCGGAAGTATCAGATGGCGAACGCATAGATTAATTATTGTAGGATAATGCAAGCGCGAAGGGGGTTTACTTGGCGCTTCGTGGACATGCGATTAATGAAACAAATATGGGAATGTTTAGGTCACACGAATTCGGAACCGATCTCACGTACGTAGCGTCTCGGGCACGTTCGGATTCTGATTGTACTGCACAAGTACACAAATTATATACAACTACATACAGTACTGATTACATAACAATTAGTTTCCTGCTAATTGGAAAACATTTTGTACACATAACAGGTAAAAATAGCACCCTACATTCTGCTAGAATAAATAAATCATTAAGAACACTACATTCATCCGTGTCTTTCCACATTTTTGTTTAAAAGACTGCCAGCACATATACGCATTCACATCAAAAATAATTTATAAAAATTCCACCGATTCAGTTGATAGTGTAAAAAAAAATACGGCAGTCTAATAATAATCCACTCACTACTCCCTGTAGATGATTTAGCATGTATGCACAGTAGCACACACACACACATACACACACACACACACACACGCACGCACGCGCGCGCGCTCACACACACGCACACGCACACGCACACGCACACGCACACGCACACGCACACACACACACACACACATGCAGGACCTGTGATCAGCTATACATGTCCTTGGTATTAGTGGATTTATGCGATGCACATGTCAGAAGCCAGTAGTGCGAGTAGTATCACTGCGGCAAGAGACGTCATAGCTGTAGGTGACACGCCACCTGGACTCGGTGTGGTCACTGGGTTGGGCTTGTGGCTGGGAGGTAGAGGCGACCCAAGACTGCTGGGAAATTCATTCGGTCGACTTGCACACCAAAGCTCGGGATCTACAAAGAAAAATGGACAAGACTGAGAAATTTCTATACATTCATGACATTAACGGAGAGGAGTACACATTAAAAAGTGCCGTTAATATTTTAACGCAGACATATATAGTTTGGCAAGAAAAATAGTTTCACATTTAAACGCATTAAGTTATTTGTTAAATACTATTATGTTTCATGCTAAAAATCTACTGCCATAAGTAATCGATACGGCGTGAATTTAAATTAATGTAATTCACTGCGACACTCACCTCCATGACTGAGGGTGAATCTGAACCAGTAGTTGACATCGGACTGTGAGCAGCCAGAATCACAGTAAAACTCAAAGTAGATGGTTTTAACATTCAAAGATTCTGAACAGTGATTGATGTTTCCCTGTTCAAACAAAATAAATCACACACTTATTTTCAAAATATATTAACAGTGACGTGCCAGTTTATAACGAATGTTTTGCAAAGAATAATTAATAATTCTAAAATGCAAAAAATCAAAAATTATATGCAAAGACCACGAATTATATTTACAGTAATATATTTTGTATTGTGTTAAATATTCATATTGAATGTAGTTTAAACATACATCAACAGCACACACATCCTCGGCTGCCTGGTTTCCACCTCTGACACTACATATGTAAAAACCAAGAGCCACGAAGTGATTATTGTAATAGTATTTGTGTTATCATTTCATTTATTCATGAAACCTAAAAATTGTCCAGTTAATTCGGATTATTTAAATTCAATTTAAAAGCAGTTATTATGCTTACATTCATAACCATTACGATACATTGTTTTCTATACTGTTACTATACTATACTTTACTCGTACCTTATCAAACAGCAAAAGCTCAACACGGAAGAAAGTAAACCTTCCTAATTAGATTAAGGAAGCAATATCAATGAAACATGCATACCACACACGTGAGTTGCTTGGTACAGTTTCAGCCAGCACCTCCACCCTGTCTATCATATTATCACTAGTTACTCGGACGCATGGGTTCGGACGTCCCTCATCCATGTAGTAAACGGTTCCTTTCAGGAATCCCAGGGGACGTGTCCCTTCATCCTGTATCCAAAAACATTCGAATTTAATCAACAGGTGTAAGGCTGATGCAAAGCGAGCGTAGCAATCCTGTCCTTTCATTCTGTAGAATCTCTATTTTATGCATACAGTTTATAAGTAGAGTCGTATATATGCTACAGCTACAGTCTTGAGAATAATAACGTGTGTAAACGGATATGTGCAATAGCTTCAATGACACAGGAAACATATATCCTGATCTGTGCATGTCAGCTACCTAAAAATAGAGCACATGCATCCAGTACCGCTTGAAGGGGTCGTTGTCGTATGCAAGGTAGATTATATATTATGTACCTGGGTAGTATTATAGTAGTAGTGTTTGTATATTTAGGAAGTTGAACGAAGGCGCGGTGTTTATGAAAAACATCTTTTTAAGAAGTGGAATAACGATTGAGAGTGAAATGTATACACACATCAGTACGCAGGTAAAGCCTGATCAGAAAGGACAAGGTAGTGTTTTTTTTCGCGCCAATAGCGGCTACGGGCGCATTCTCTCCGCGCATGCTTTTGCATGGCGATCTACGAAATTTCAATGAAGACCCGTTCTGTCCAATTTACCCTCACCAAAATGATAAAAGTTATGGGGACGAATTCATTCGGATCTACAGGTCATGATAAAATTTAGATGGCCATAGTCAGTTATCACTTACATTACTACATTACTCACAGTTATTTCGGAATAGTTTCTGTCGTATTGTTCCTCGGGTATAAAGACGAAGTCTAGCACTTGTGTAGTACTATCTCCAGCTGCTGGAGGGCAGGCTGCTTTAACACATAGAGATGCTGTTAAAAAATCAAACATCTCCTTATTAAACTAGTATAGTAATACTTTACAATAGAACCAATCAGAACTGTTATCTAGGCAATTCGATACTAGAACAATCAATAAACATACAAGAGACTAAAGAAGGGTATATAGTGCAGAGGCAACGGGTGATAGAAAAGAATAACGGGTGGATGTGGGCAGTATGTACCTTCTGATACGTAACTATAGCACCAGGCCAAAAAAATCATCGGTTCAAGGATAGAGATAATGTCCAGGACGGTAATAGGATACTGTTAATTACTGGACATGCTCTCTATCCTTGAGCCGCCAAATTATCTATCAGATAATCTATCACATCCATGCACTAAAACGCAACCACACTATGATAGATTCTGATTCATAGTGTGGTTGCGTTTTAGTGCATGGATGCGTGGTGGCGCCATCGACAGATTATATACATACTTTCAGTTTTAGTGGCGAATAATAACAGATTCTGTCATTAATGAAAATTCTGGCCTGATAGTGATACTTTGATACTTTACATATAACTTAAGAACGTCGTGAGGACTATATTTAGCAGTACTAGTAGTAGTAGCACAGTCAGGACAGTAGCAGGTAAGAGCGAGTCGAAAAATACTTGTGAACTAGGGCCTAATCACTTACCCACTAGCATGAAAATGATTAGAGCCAACAGTAGGTCAATCAACCTACAACCAAGTTGCCTCGCCATTACTGTTCCGTATACACTGTATTCAATAATTTACGCACTCTGCCACGCACAGGTAGCCCGACCAGGCTGTGCGACCGATTGTCTTCTAACCCTAGAGCAAGACCGTTTCTTGGAGCTAACGCACAGGTAGATGTGTATCAATGGGTGTGTAAATTGTCCACTTCCTGTTTGGCGCGCCGAGCACCCTCTGGTGTGAAAAAGCGAGTTAATTGGTATCTCTTTCTCACAAGGCAGAGAGGCAAGGCAACTAGCGTCTCGCCAAGGTATTCGAAATGGAAATGCATGGAAATTAAATAGAAAGGTTGGCGCAAGGTGGGATATACATGGCTACCGAACGTTAACTATTCTATACATAAGGACGTATTATAAAAAATATGATTCAATTATAATTATTTGATCTAATATGATAACACAGCTCAGGAACGAATATAACTGCGTCCAGTATACTGGCTCTTCCGCTGCTTTACAGGGAAGGTTTAGAGCAGAAAATAATCACTCACGCATGATCACATAGTTGTATAAACGTTATCAAAAGATAACCTGTAGAACTATTACTTCTAAAACAAAATTATGTATGACGCGTGACACACATATCTATAGGTCAGGGTAAATATAGGATATTACAATGCAGAAAACAACGTATGATATGCAGCCTTTTACCACATACACATGTTTAAAAAATACTGGAAAAAAAATTTGATTCAACTTCTCGAGCTCGGGAGTATATACAAATGTTACGACATCCAAATAATTAATTGCCACTGCTGCATAGATCTGTGGCAACATCTAATTAATTAGGCGCGTCTGGATAACCTCCGCTCACGCAAGATGGGTGAGATGGTAGGCTCAGTTCCTTCCGAACTGCGTGTGGGGGCTTACTTTCAACGATCATAACATCTACGACGACAGATCGATTGAAGTCCGTATGTATGACGAGCAACGAGCGTAGGAGCAGCTACAAATCATGCTCCGGCCAATGACTGTTTGGCAATGGATATACGACAATGACGACAACAAACACAACGGACCGGCAATTACGACGGCAACGATCGATCAACGGCAAACACGTCGTCAACGGCACGTCGACAACGGCAATGATCGTTCGGCAATTGACGACACATACGTCGACAACGGCAATGACGTCAGGCAATGAAGACGACAACATCGACGATCATAGCGTAGTTTGGCCCGACGACGGTTATTGACTGATGACAGCAACGATGCGATGGATTGACGGCGTGGAAACGCGCGGTGAGATTCATTGCACGGCGGTAGTGATGATTATGTCGTCACGCTTACCCAGTCGTCGACGTAAGGAGATTCTAGTACGAGTCTATCGTCGTCCTTGGAGCCGAGGCGGTGAATCAACGACTAAGGGCGGTCATGTTTTACTGCGCGTGTTCTCAAGTCGGTCGGCTTCGCGAAAGCAAGACGTTATTCACCGTGTTCGGCACGCATGCGCATCGCACGGAACAGCGAGAGCAGCATCGACAGTGCCGTCGGTCGCGAGATTGACCGAGTTTTCGCGCCTTCATTCGACAAGCAGGATGATTCCTGCCGACGTAGCCCGACGATCCTGGCGGGAGACGAGGAGCTTTCAACAATGGACTCTCGTGCAGCGTCCCGCCGACCGTCTCGAGCTGCTTCCGCGATACTCGACGTACGCCAGCGCCACCTGTCGTCGGCGAGCGACGCGCTACGTGCGCGATCCGGAGAATCCATTTCATGCTCACCAGTGTATCGGGCTTGACAGTTTCTAGATACGTACTGTACGACCCGGCGGGATGTGGCCGCAGTACATGCGATATGCCGCGTTGTGAAGCCGTAGGTCTCGCCTTGCTTCCATTCGTGTGTGCTCGCCACGTCACTTGACGACGTTTGCTGGCCCGACTCGCCGACAGTGCGAGCGCCACATTATACGCTATCACCGACTGCTGAGTCGACCACTACGCCGTCATTTCGGCAGACTCGGTCACTGCCGCGGACGTGGCAGGTGGTCGCCATCTAGTGAGCCGCTTTGTCGACCTTCTTGCGCGCGGTAACGTGCTTTCGCTGCTTCGGTATACCTGTTTGTTATTTCGTGCGTGGCGTGCGTGTCGTGTAGCACGTTGTTTGAAGCGTACGTGCGTGTGTGCGCATGTAATGTGTGTTTTTAACACGCCTGTGCGGTGCATGCCTCGGCGCTTATTGCGTGGCGGTGGTGAGCGAGTGTAGTGTCAGAGGAGATTATAAGTGATAAAATAATGTATGAAGGATAATAAGTGTATGATGGCGCTAACGAAATATAATTAATTAAACAATCAACTAAATAACTTAATATCTCTTGCAGCCCCTGCTTTGATTTCAGTTTGCGTTGCACTTGCAGCGGCAAGGCACTTTCACAGACAAATATTATAATCTGATCCTGATCACCAGAGCAGATCTGTTGGCCAAGTTATTTCGCTATAATCTATATAACCTTCATTACTGGTTAACAGATCACGCACGCAAACATACTTGTATAAGCGTTATCGAAAGATAATCTGTAGAACTATTACTTCTAAAACAAATGTATGATTCGTTATAAGAAGCATGTCTGTCCACCGTCGGTAATTGTAAACACATGGCTGCCGCCGCATTGTATTTACACCCATCTAAGAGCACACGCACGCACGCACCACGCATCGCACAACGCGACACACACACACCACACACACTACACACACACACACAAACACAGCACACACAACACTACACACACACCAACACTACACACAAAACACATCACACATACACACAACCACACACACACACACACACACAACACACATAAAACAGACACGCGCTACGCATCGTACACGCCACACACGTAACGCACACACACACACACACGCACGCACGCACACGCACGCACACATACGCACCATGCATCGATAGATTTTAGGGTCAGACGTATCTGCGAGCATGCCTACTATCTGCTAAAAGAAATCACAATTTAATGAAATAATATATTAACAAATATAAGATATGCTCAGGAATAGGTTTTCTCTTAAAATATGAAGCGCATTTGCGTATACTTATATAAAAAGAGGAAGCCCAATATTCTCCACATCCTCATTCTCCGGATCTCCGAATGGAATTGTGCAGATTTTTCATTATATATATATATATATATATATATATATAATTTTGTTGGATTTATGCACTGCGAGAAAGCTCATAGGTAAGAGCTCATGTGTTAATATCTACTCTTGATATAAATTAACGTGACAGACGGCATGGCCGATATATAGTATAGAAGAGGTACGGT